TATACTTTTTCATCACATAGAATGAGAAATAATACAAAAATAAAGATTGTACCAACCTAATAATAATATATTCTACAATTTATCCAAGATTAAAATGCTTATTTCCACCCACCAGAAACTCTAAGTAGGCGTTTTTACTTGAAATTAATAAAATTAAAATTGTATTTGGTTGACGTTTAAGCAAAGAATATTAGAAGTATTGTTCATACTTGAATGTTGAATGTACTTAATATAAACAAATTTGAAATTGAAATTTTCATATCACACATTAATTTTCAAATAAATTATAATTCTTCCAAGTGAATACTGGAGTAATTCTTATGGCCCATATATGTATTCACTTTCACAAAGTAAGTTCAGAGGCTTCTATCAGAAAAATCTTACTTTGGTGGATTTAAGATAATTACACAATGCAAAAAATTAAAACAGAGTGGGTAAACTGTAAAAGCATCACCCATTTTTACTGGGAAACATCATATAATGTAGTGTAAAATTTCCTTCTGAATCTGTTCCTAAACTTTCAAGAAACAAAATAAGTAATACATGAAGGTAACCTACTAACTCATTTAGTGAAAAACTATTTAAGCCACAAGCAAGTTCATAAAACAGATTATGAAAATCTTTAACATATTTAAGCTCCAACTACTTCAGTTGGTTCAGTTGCAACGTCCTCTGCCGGTCTATCCACCTTCACACCGACATCTTCTGAGTAATCACCGTGAACCTACCACAACCAAGAAACAATAATCTCCACATTAATACTGAAAAATTAAGAGTTTGGTAATACCGAAAGTGACAAGAAATGAAATTAATATTAGTTGAGATGGGAGCAACAAAATTACCTCCATCAACCTCCCAAGGTCGAATTTAGGAGCCTTCAAGATCTTGACCTTGCGAATGAACACATTCTGCAAAGGGTAGATGCTTGAAGTTGCCTTCTCAATCTCCCTACCGATTGATTCAGGAATGAACTTCAGGACCAAGTCTTTCAAATCACACGATTGTGCCTGGTTAACCATGATCTCACGCATCTTGCGACGAATCTAAAAACAATTATTTTGAAACGAGAGTAGAGATCAATGATTTTAGCAAAATACAGGATGGGGAAGTGTAAGCACTAGTACTCATCCCTACATTATTTATATTGCTTCTGACTTGTGCACATCAAAATGAATACTCGAGAAAATTTAAACCAAGCATTTCCATTTACCACACAACTAATACTGCTAATATCACAATTAGAACAAAACTTGTTAAGATTTGAACAAGCATTTGCATTTACCTGGCGAATCTGGCTTGACTGTGCGTAGCAGGTTCTTTTTTGTTGGTTTGGACGCTTTTTGGTAAAGCCAATGCAGAACATTCTCAAGGTGTAGCTATCAGTTGTCTTAACATCAACATGAGCCTCAATCAATGATTGCCATTTCTTTACCAGTGACCTCAACTTATCTGTGGTGAAGTCCATACCCTGACCATTTTAACCAAAAAAAGTCGGTAGGAGGATTTTGATAAGAATAGGTAGAAAAAAAGTCGAGTTCATTGTCATACATGAAAGTTTGTCAAGACATTTCTTCCTTGGACGTCTTCAGCTCTCAGACGAATCTTCCTGAAGGAGTGATCTTCGTCATTCTGAAGATCAGCCAATGACACTTCGAACACACGATGCTTCAGGCCTTCTGAAGCAATCTGGAATGAAGGAATAACATTACAATTCATTACATCATGAATTCAATAAGCTAGTAATACTTTGCCCATAATTTAAGCCCAACTGACTCAAAACTCAGAAGAGGTTTCCAATATTAATCCGAATTCATGTCAAAATAGAGCTTGAACTCAATCATTCCTTCTCTATTCTGGGAGACAGCACTATTTTTGCTACGTAAAGTTCACTTTCATATAATATAGTTAGCATTTCACTGGCAGAGACCTTCCCCATACGTCAAGCTTCATCTAGATTTCTCAATCCAATCAAATGACTAAACTCAACATTCTTAACCATGTTTAAGAAAAGGGTAACTGAAGATTCTAAAATCACAAAACTTGCAAATTTCTCAGCTACACGATATAAGTTAATTCCACTATATTAAGCACAATGACACATCAGATCAGACTTCAGCTGTTTCTAAGCCACTAAACATCATCAATCGATGATAAATAACAATTAGTCAATGAAAAAACTATCAAAGATAACTTCAATTACTCACCAATATTCAAAACCACATAAGCAAACCACTAAAATACCTATGTATCTCTAACATTCCAAAATATATACTCCTATTATATAGTGAATGTATGATATTCTTAAAATTAAGACTAAAGCAAATAATTACCTTTGTACCCTGTGTACGGGTTACAAGGGTCTTCCCTACATTGCGGACACCAAATACTGATGGAGCCTTGATATCATACCAATCCTTTTTAGCATATGGATCAGCTCTGTATCCACCAAAAAGAATCAAATCAACAAAATACAACAACATCATCATACACAGTGTAATTCACAACCGGGGTACGGGGAGAGTAGAATATATAGTGGCTGTTTCCGATAAACCCTTGGCTCATCATATCTTTGAAAAAAGGAAATACAGAAATGCAACCAGTAATAACAATCAAATAATACGATAACTGAAGCAATGAAAACAATAGGTAATACTATACTAAAATAGCAATACTGATAAGGTGACTAGACAAAATAAACATTTAAAACATATTTAACAAAAAAATTGAAACTTTGGTATAAAACTAAGGAAAAAAGAACTTACGCCTTCTTCTTTCCTCCCTTCTTGCCTTTGGAAATTCGCTTGTTCTTACTGTAATACAACAAAATTGCAAAAAAGGGTAAAAAAAATTGTACATTGAAGCATAAATGTTGCAAAAAGGTGAATTTTGAGTTGTAGAGAGAGAAAGAGAGTATACCCGACGGCCATGGTCGAGCTTCTGAGCTATGGTAAGAGAGAGAAACACAGAACTATAGTGAGCTCGACGACGGCTTCAATGGCAAACCCTAACAATTTAACCCTAATGAGATCTTATTGGCCCATTCAGATATTAGGCTTTTTATTATACACTATTAACTAATGGGCTCAGCCTTTTTTCAAAAATTGGTTTAAGCTTGTGGGCTCGATTGGCTCTTTTCTTGGTCTGTGGTTGAGAAGGGTGGGGGTTAGTATTAGTTAGCGATCCCGATTTAGTGAGTTATTTATTTCGTGATGAATTATTGGCATCATTTTTATATTTTGTCTTTGTGGATCGAGGAGAAAAGGGGATTGGTGGGAAGTGGAGTGTAACATGAGAGAAGCAAGGAGGTCAACCTCTTTTAATTATTATATAATATAAATTCTAAGAATGTAGTCGAACTCTCATGTCGATTTGAATGAAAATATCCTTTCCGCAAAGGTAAATCTTTACCTTCTAGACAAGAGGATAGAAAGTTCCAAATTTTGTCTCAATGGAATGGAAAGGCAAGGCAAGGAGGGCAAAGAGTTTCGTTTAGAAAATCAAGGCTTAATACGTAACTAACCTTTTAAACTTGTCAAGATATTTTATTTAACTATTTGAACTAAGTCATTTTTTAATTAAATATCTCAACTCCTAATAAATATTCCAATTAGACATTTTTGGTTCAAATTATATTTGTTCAAAAATAGTTGTGTGTATTCTCATTCGACTATTAGATGAAAGGAAATATACATATTTTCAAAAATCGTGTGTGTTTTCAAATTATATTTTTGCTACTTGAATTAGCCAATGAGGTGCTTAAGGTTGAAGATTCATACATATTTAATAATTTATATAAAAAATAATAACGAGAACATCCTGGTACATATTATTTGCACAAAAAAAGAAGAAGGGGAAATTAAATAAAATACAATCAACGTCAATGTATATATCCAATGATACAAAAAGTGATAAACAATAACAAAAAGAAAAAGTCTTAACTTTCTTACATGTATAGTTTATTCAACGAACAATTTTTTTTATTCCTTTTTTTCCCTTTCAATACAAAACCTATCCAATCACGTAAAACCAAACAAAAGTCAAATAAACACAACACATCAATCACTTTAAGGATAATGGTAATAATGTGATTTTGGTGGTGGTGGAGGTGGCGGCGGCGGTGGTGGCGGTGGTGGTGGCGGTGGTGGTGGAGGTGGCGGTGGTG